CCCATAAAAAGAGACCAAAGCAACAGACAAACAGATATGTTTTGACCAGAACAATGGAGAAATATGCTGCAGAGCACCAGGAAAGTGAAGAGATCCTTGTGAAGTGTGGACGAAGGGAAGGACCACAGAGAGCAGAGGAGGGCATCCAGCCTTGACCTCCCATAGGGACCTGCCCAGAACCAGGTGGACAGAAGGTAAGCTGAAAAATACCCCAGATGGTCCTACTACCTCAAGAGAGTCCCCCAATCTTTTGGGACCCAGGCCTAGTTGGAGAGTAGCTGGAAGTTAGTGCAGCTGCAGGCTCACAGTGAAAGCCGAAGGAAATTAAAACCCCTCCTGCCCTGAGCGGCTGAGACACAGCACTGCCTGGGAACTGAAACTGCAGAGGGAATACACCCTGCCCTGGACCCAGTGAGTCTGACTCCCTTTGTCGGGAGGCCCTGCCAGCATTCTACTGTGTTCATGTGGGTGCCAGCGGGACCAAGGCACAGGCTGCCTGGAGCCTAGGACAGACAGAAAGACCAAGATCCCAGCCTCTGAGCCCACACAACCCTTCCCCGTTAACTGCCACCACCCTCCCCCCTGATCTGGGGTTAGGCCAACCAGCTGTGGGTGGGGAAGCTGCTAGTAAGCAGTTATTCCCCATGTTTGCATGTACCAGTCCTGCACAACTCTTGGTCCTGCTGAGTCCACAGGTGCCCACACTGACAGCTAGCCTAGCAGTGGTCCCTCCTCCCCACTCCTCCACAGCTCTAGGGAGCTGCTGAGTCCTGCAGCATCTCTGCAGGCTTGCTCCAGACTCAACAGCCAATCCAGTAGCCCTCTATAGAGCTGCCAGGACCTGCTGCAACAGTATACACCTGCTCACCGACCAACAGCAGACCAGGAAGGGGCTCTGACACCCCAAGTCAGGCCTCTGCAGAGCTGCTGGCCTTGGCAGGCTTGCATCAGGCTCAACAGCTGATCATGCAGCCCCCTTCAGAACTGCCAGGCCCTGGAGCAGATGTGTACACTTACTCCCAAATTAACAGCTGATTGGGTAGCAGCTTTTCTTCCCTGCAGCACCCACCTAGAAAGCCACTGAGTGCTGCAGCATCTACATAGACTTGATCCAGGCTCCACAGCTAAGCCAGTGGCCCTCTACAGAGCTGCCAGAACCTGCTGCAACAGTATACACCTGCTCACTGACCAACACTGGATCACCCACCCCAACGGGAAGCTGCCGAGGGCCCTACCATCTAGGCTGCAAAGACACCCACAGACAATTTTAAGATTGAATACAGTTGAAGAAGTCACTCACCCAGATCCAAACTTAAAAAGCCCAACCTGAATGTCGATATAGAACCCTTTTACAGGAAAGAGTCTCCCTTTAAAATCCACTCCTAGAATTAAAAGAAGCGACTACACTGCCAGATGCCCAGACATCAGCACAGAGGTATGAGAAGCACGAAAGAACAGGGAAACATGACTCCCCCAAAAGAGGACTACAATTTGCCATTACCAGACCCCAAACAACAGGAAACTGACGAATTGCCTGGAGAGGAATCCCAAATGGCAATACTAAGGAAAATCAAAATGATGGATGAAAAAATAGAAATCACAATATAGTCAAAAAGAAATTCAAGGACATGTAAGAGAAATTCAACAAAGAGATACAAACAATAAAAATAAATCAAGCAGAAATGCTGGAACTGAAGAATTCATTCAAAGAAATAAAAAATACAACTGAGAGCATAGGCAGCAGGCTAGAACAAGCAGAAGAAAGAATCTCCTATCTAGAAGACCAGCTTTTTGAATTAATACAGTTGGACCAGCAGCCCTGATTTGATCATCACATATTGTACACAAATACTGATAGCCAACTCTGGACCCCATAAATACGTAAATCCATTATGTTTCAACTTAAGAGAACACCTGTAAGGAAAGAGTAAAGCAAGCAAAGTGTTATCCATGTTGGCAGTTTAAGGGATAATTTTCTTCCGAAGTACCTCACATAAGAAAAAGAAAATGAGAGTATTTATATGGTACTTAACATTCAGAAAGGTAAATCACATCCAGTCCTAGAGGACACTGAAGTGGATTTTTTTTTTTTGTATTACTAAATTATCCTTGACCTCACCACTAGAAGACTAAGTTCCACTTCAAATTCCATTATATATAATAATAAATATTGTATTTTGTTTTTATTGTTTCTATAGTGTTAATGAGGATTTTCAAACATCATCTCCAGCATTCCAGTGATGCCATCTGATACACTATTCAATGACACATACAGAGATATAGATAAAGGCACCTTACAGTTGTATGGAAGTTTCATGGACTAACCTGATCCATAAAAATCACACTTCAAAGCCTGGACCACCTTCATGCTACTTCTCATCAATCACAGACAAATTGCTAAGCAAGGTAGTTAGCAGTCAAATAAATGTGTAAAAGTCAGTTCCATCTTATGTATCTACATGATCTTGAAAAGATTTTGAGTAAAAAAAAGGGGGAAAAATTCTACAAGAATCTAAATGAAACACCACCACCAGCAACAACAAAAATTGAGCTACTACAAAGAAACAAACACCAGGCTGACAGCAAGTTTTTCCTCTGCAATACAAAGGGCCACAAGTCAATGGACCAAAGTCTGTAGGTTTGGGGTGGGGAATTTATACAAAATAAAAAATATGTATAGCCACACACATTTTCTTTCATATATAAAAGTAATAGAAAAACATTCTCAAATATGGTAGACGTAAAAAGTTTTAAAAACTGGAACAGATAAGTAACCATGGGAGAAATTTAAAAAGTTGTGTAAAAGCCTGCCTGTCCCCTCTAAATCAGGAATCAGCTTGTATTTATTAATACATTTTAAGTTATGTATAATTCATCGTATGTATAAAACTCTCCCAGAGTGCTTAATACAAAGGAAGGTTAGAGTAATCCTACCACAATACCTAAAAGACTAAAGAACAATATTTTAACTAAAATAAATACCTGTCTTACCAAATGAACTTCAATAGCATGGTGTATACCATGAGTTAGTTATTAAAGTTTATTCTAGGAACCCAACACTAGAACACTAGAAAATCTGTGACCGTCCCATCAATAAGTCAGTAAGTCAAAGAAGAAAGAGTATTTTATGTTTGTCTTAGTAAATATTTTTTAAAAAGCATTGGATTACATTAAAAATCTTTTTATTTTACTTTTATAGTAATCTAAGAATAGAAAGATATTGCCTTAAGTTGATTTAGGAAAA